TCGGTACGGGTACAGCCAGCAGGCACACAATGGTGCCAGGGTCACATTTTCTCCATTCAAACGCCCCGCGCGCTCAACATACCCGGGGGTCATGAAGGCAAATACTGTTTCACTCGCGGATTGTCATGTACCCCCTCAAAAAAACGCAGTGTGCCCGAGAAGTGCACACAGCTGCATATAGCCTTGACTCGAGGAGGCAACCATAGTCCGCAAACGGCCTGCCAGGAGCAAAATAAATAGACGGATAGCGACAGACGTCGCGAATCGCAAGTGACCTTGCAAACGACTTTGCAGCGAGACTGTACCGTTCGGCCGGTACATCCTCCTCCAGGCTCTCGCAGCCGCACTGGCTCACTGGTGATAATGAAGCGACTCGCAGCAGTTTGCGTCTTGTTCCGGAGCACAACATCTGAGTCACGCTACGCGTGTCCGAGCGAGCGGAGCGCGAGGCCCGTCGGGGCAAAACGCAGCGCGGCGGGGTGTGGCGGGGTGCGGCGGGGCGCGACGGGGCGCGGCGGGACGGGGCGGGGCGAAGAGGGGCGTGCGGCATCGAACGCTCATTTCCAAGTCAAAACGCAGCAACAGAGGACGGCTTGCCGGGGGCCCTCGGGGCCTCCAGCAGCGCTCTCATAGCAGAGCCTCTGGTGGTCAGCATGCACAGGCTGAAATCCAAGTGGGGGAGCGAAACCGCACCAACAAAAAACGAAAATATATCGAATTGAGAAACAAGGCGAATCCGGGAGGCACAGCTTTTAGAAGCTCCGTTCGAGTCTTCTTGGGGTGCACCCCTCACTCCACTTTACAACAACTCACATGCAGCTGTCCGCTGCCGCTACCGTCCGCGGCTGGCGGTCAGGTCAGGGTCAGAGGGACGGGTGCACGGCCAATCAAAAGTGCAGGGCAGGCCAGGGCGGGGCGGCCGCGCAGCAGGAAGTACTGCATTACAGCCCCGTGCAGTGTGGGGGAGGGGCGAGGGTATGCCCCCATCACCTGTCAAGCGCACATGAACTTGAACTTGAACATTATCGTTCCACGTGCCCAAAAGCACGGCCGTCAGCGACATAGTCATATGGCTCCGAGTCTGGGAGGCTATTTTGTGGTATTTTGTGACATATTATGGAGTATTATGAAGTATTATAAAGGTATTGTGGGGCCCGTGTGCGGAGTATTATACGAGTTGGCGACCCCTCAGTACAGATGCATTGCAGAGCTGGTGTCAAGTGGGCAGACGCTGGGATAGCAAGGTTTCAAATTTGACCACCACTGCGTTGCGGCGTCATGACGCGTCACGTCACCGCAGCCGGTGGTGCTGTGGTCGAGTATCCTACATATCAGCAGCGTGCTCCAACACCCCCTGCATGCATGCGCAGACGAGACAGACAAAGAGGGCAAGAAAGAACACCTGTGACATGTTTCGTACCACCAGACTGAGTTGGTCAGCTTCGCTGGCACGTCTCCTCGAACAAGCGGTCATTGACAGCGACCACAACTTTAGATGAGATGGTTTAAGAGTGCGATGAACATTTCACTTTTGCATGACTCTGAGGGTGTCGGGGACCACGCAGGAATGCAGTACCGCAGAAATGCGGTGGTTAATCAGCCACCTGATATTCAACCCATTGCTTAAGAAGAAGTTGATTGACTTCTTCCACTGTCTGGGTGGTAGCACTGCGGTCGCTCCAATCCTTACGAATTTAAAATGGCCCAATGTGCCCCATGGCCGCTAAAGTACGTTTCTTTTTGCCCTACTTGTCGCATTTCACGGAGTTCTGCACGGTTTTACGCGAAGAAACCTCTCTGGTTTACTGCTACACTGTTCGTAAAGAGTCGACGACCCCTCGCCTCCGCCTCGCCAGCCCACCTGCCCCCTCGCCCGGCTGGCACATGCGGGTATAGTAGACGCAGCAAACGTCGTGTCGAGCTGCCGTCAGGCAGAAAATTTTGCGCAACTGGTCGGCTCGCGCGCCTGCCAGCCCGAGCCTGTTGTTGGACTCTCCAAATGCCACCCTTCCGCCGCCGACTCAACAACCCCGCACCCTCTTCTCCTCTAGCTACCCTCGTCCGCCTCGGGATAGGCCTGTCCTGCCCCCCCTCCCTCAAGGATTTCCCTCCGGGGTTCCCCCGCCCGCTGGACCAGTGAGTGTGAAGGGCAAAGGCCGAGCCCTCTTCTCCTCGAGGGCCGGTGGGGGCGGGCCGGCGGGGGCGGCGCTCTGCGTTCACCCACCACCCTATCACCTGTTGCTTCCGGCGGGTCGGTCCGTGGTCGAGGGCCTTTCAGCGCGTGCAACTCTCCGTTTGGGGGGAACCGAAGCGCGAAGCAACGGCCGAAAACAAACTAGCGGCGAGGGGGCAAATCGGCCGCCCGCCAGCCCGCGCTGTGCGGAGTGCTTCGCCGAGAAGCTACGCGCCAACGGACTTCTTTAGCGGGCCGTTATGACACAAAAGGTGTGGTAGTCCGATCAGACGGCTGATGCAACGGGTCGAGCCCTTTGCGCTAGCCGCAGTGGGGGCGGCCCTTGCCGCGCCGCCGCAGTTCCCATCGGCGGAAGAGGTATCAACAATAGGCGTCGCCACGATGATTTGAGGGGGAGAGAGGGGGGGGGGGGTAAAGAAAGGGGTCCGCTCTGGGACTCCACCCCTCACCTCAACCGGACAGGTCGCTGTCGCGTTGGCTGACGAAAACAGCGACACACATTGCAGGCGCTTTTCCTCGAATCCTGCAGGGAACAACCGTTTCCGGCGGGCTTCTCGTCACCTCTGGCTCCGGCTGAAGATAGATCCCTCTCTCTCTCTCCCTCAGGACTCCCACATGGGTTGGGATGCGAGGAGAGAAGTTCCCTTTTCAAACAGTTTGATAAGTCACCTGGAAGCATGGTAGTAGGTCCGTGGGTCCTACTATCGTGCTGGAGGTAAACACAATTTCGAGAAAAATTGTAAAATATGTCGGCCAGTGTTTGTCGTGTTCCACGGGGCGACGGCGGCACGGAGGCTCGCAGGTCTCTCCGCCAGATAGTACCTCCCTCCTGAGTTTAGTTTTCAGGCACGAACGCAAAGGTGTGACAGCAGAGAGCAAACAGAACAGGGCGACGGGACGAGCAAACATCGCAGGCTCGACCCGAGCAAAGCGGGCGACACTTTTATCTCCATTTTTAGCTCAGCTCCGGGTTGGGCGGGGGGCTTATCTAGAGAGCGGGACCACCGCAGTCCATCGCGCCTGCTTCCCTCCTCCGCGCCTCTGAACTATACTTCCCCAGAACTGCCCCGTTACTGTTGTGCTCGGCGAACGCGCAGTATATATTCAACGGTGCGGGCGGGGACGGGACCGGGGAGAGGTCAGGGTGACTCACGGTCACGGCGACTTTGGAAAGCGGATCGAAAGGCGAAAGAGAATCGAGTGGAGGTGATAATTGTGCAGCCTGCTACCTGCTCGATATCATTGCCCCCCGCTGACATTGTCTGGGGATGCTGGAGCGAGTGATGCCTCAAGAGCTCGGCCTGCACCCAAGTGATACTTGCGACAGAGTTGAAAGAAAGAGAGAGAGAGAGAGAGTTTTTCAAAAGAAGCCTCAGAGTTGGGTGCATTCCTCGAAGTCGACCCGCAGAGGACCCGGAGCAGGAGAAGGTGAGAAGGTGAGGCGAGGGCTTTACCGTCCTGGGATTAGTATTTCGGCTGCGGGGCTCTCATTTTGTGAGCGGGAAGTCCTCGTTCAACCGCCTCTCCTCATCGGCTTCCAGAGTTACACGTTACACGGCACGGGTCAGACAGGTCCGGAGGCTGGCCGGGAAACACGGGCAGCGCGAGAGAGCGCGGCGTAGGGAAAATCCTACCCTGCGGCCAGGATGACGTCAAGGAGGTCGTGACCAGCGTCACGACGGGGAGGCTACCCTGCGCTTCGGCCTACAGCAGCAACATCAAGGTCCTGGACCTGCTGCCCGGGGGCAAGGGGGCCACTAGGGGCGCCTGGCTGCCAGAATGGTGCCCCCCCCCCTTCCCCCCGGGCCGGAGGCGTAGCCAGAGCAGTTTCGGGACGAGGACGAAGGGGCTTGATTGGGTGCAAGATCGGCTGCAGTACTTTTGCTCCGCCACTGTCCGTCGCGGGCTGTCGCAGCAGCGGGCCGGTCGGGAACGCCCGCAACTAACTGCGGCTACTAAAACGGCCTTGATTGAATCAAACCAATCAATCGTCTCGCACAACGAGGCCGGCGCGGCATGCGGCGACGACGAGGCAGCTTCGCTAAGGCAAGAGGTGGCCTGCTGCTGCTGAGTCGACGCAGCTCGGCGTCGCTGCGCCGCTGGAGGGGCTCGCGGGCCCACGACGCGAGATTCGAGCGCAGGCCTGGCCGTCAAACTGGGACAAGTCGACTGGCTCTGCCCAACGCGCACGCCGCGGAGGTTTCTGTGACCCGCATGTTAAACGCGCCCCGCCACGCCCCGGCCACGCCGACGGCAGGACACAGGCGGCTGCAGCCAAGTGCAGTGCATCGTGCGTGCATCCTTAGCAATAATAGTGCGCAGGTACAGCAGGCAGGTGCTCCAGGACCGGGGTGCACGTCGCAGGCTGCAGCCCATGGCTGCGCTGGAGCCTGGAGCCCTGGAGCCTATGGCTGGAGCGGGTTGGGACCCAACCTCCAGAGCCTGCCCGCCTGCCTGCCTGCCTTTCTGTCTGTCTGTCTGTCCGACCGTCTGCCTGTCCTGCCTCCTCGGCCTGGCTGCCAGCTGTGCCTGGGTGTCTACCTGATCCTGCGGAGCTACTGGAGCGCGCCCCGCGGCAGGCTCTGGAAGCAGCCCGCTTCCTGCCCCGGCCCCGGCTCTGCGGCGGGCTCGGCTCGGCCCGGCCCAGCCCGCCGCTCGGCTCGGATGGGGGCAGGCTGGGCCAGGCTGGGCCAGCAGGGCGGGCGGCCAGTCAGGCAGGCAGTCAAGCAGGAGGAGGAGTGGAGCGAGTGGAGTGCCAGGGCTGTCCAAGCCCGACCCGAGTGCCGTGGTATTTACCCAGGTGAGGAGACGGCACAAAGAAGTCTCTCCGCTGACGCGTCACTCCGCGTGTGGCGTCCCCCCGTCAGAGACCCGGGTCTCTCTGGTCAGTTTAGCGCCGCGAGTCGAACCGATTCGTGGGTCTAAAAAGCGCGCCGGAAGGTGGGAACGATGCGAAACCTGTGATATCCTGGATACCAACGTACGGCGAAAGCGCTCGGTAGGTGGTGACCCCCATAAGGATGTGGATACCTTTCGCCGATCAACTGGAGAGACCGCAATGGATTAATCGTCGACACTGAATCAAAAGTGCAGTGGAAAGTGAAGTGGTGTGAAGACTTTGCCAGTGGTGCGAGTTATTATCTCAAAGTGGCTAGTGCTGATGTAGTGCACACTGGAATGCAGTGCGGTGTGAAGTGGGGTGGAACGGAGTGCAGTGATTGGTGGTGATGTGGGGTGAAGTGAACTTTTGAACAGCCCTGTGCCGTGAAATGGCAGTTAAGTGCAGTGAAATGATGGTGGTAGCCGAGTGGAAAGGAGCGAGTGGAAGTGAAGTGCAACCCAAGTGTCCGGAGTAGCGGCTCGGCGGCGTGGAGCGATTGCCCGAGCGCTGCAGGAGCCGAGTCCTAAAACGACACACCAGACTATATCTTTGGGCATATGGCCCGCTCTGAAAATCACATACTTGCGTTATATATTATTAGTTAGTAGAATTTGCGATCATCAGTGTCCCATAATAATTTAAGAAAATGAGAGCTAGGTCAAAGACCCTAAGAAAAAAAAATATATATTTAAAACATAAAGTGGCACTTGTGATTTGAAAAATGGTGATTGTATGTTACAGATATCAACAAAGTGTTAGCAGACCTTCACCAAAATGGCCCTCATTGGGCTAGTCTCAGGCTTGGCAGGATTTGTCAAGGTGCGATACCTGATAGATAAGGCCATAATCGACAACATTGTCTTCCGCTGTCACTACAGGGTGACCTCTGCTATTTTGTTCCTCTGTTGTATCATTGTAACGGCAAACAACCTAATTGGTAATATTAAATATCCAACACTTGTAAAATTTACTTAACAACAAAGCTTATTGAAAAATTAATCGGTTAAAATTCTCTAAATTTAAAGGCGACCCTATTAGCTGTATCAATGATGGTGCTGTGCCTGGACATGTGATCAACACCTATTGTTGGATCACATACACTTTCACCCTGCCCCATCAGCAAGGGCAGCCGAAAGGATCGTATGTTGCTCACCCTGGATTGGGCAATTACGTTGACCAAGAAGATGCTCCTCGCTACCACTCATATTACCAGTGGGTGCCCTTCATGCTTTTCTTCCAGGTCAGTAGCAAACTTATTTCATTAGAGTTATAATTAAAAAATAAACATGTAAAATAATTTTAAACATATTTTCAGGGAATTCTCTTCTACATCCCCCACTGGATCTGGAAGAACTGGGAAGAGGGAAAGGTTCGCATGATTTCTGATGGCATGCGAGGTGCCCTGATTGGACCTAAAGAAAACCGTCGAGACAAAGTCAACCGCCTTGTACAGTATATAATGGATACTCTACATATGCATAATTTCTATGCTGCTGGCTACTTCCTTTGCGAAGCTCTAAACTTTGCTAATGTGGTATGTAGGAAGAGTATAGTGCATGATAATCCTAGAGTGGAGATAAATAATAAATTACTGACTTGACTTTTTCTGGTTTGTTTTATGCAGGTTGGTAACATTTTTTTCATGGACCTCTTCTTGGGTGGAGCTTTCCTGTCATATGGCACTGATGTAATCAGATTTTCTGGAATGAACCAGGTATGTACTGAGTCTATGCAGACTGACTAAGATCTACATTCCAAAAGACAATATTTTTACAGTCATGATTCTTTTTACAGGAAAATCGCACTGATCCAATGATTGCTGTTTTCCCGAGGATGACCAAATGCACCTTCCATAAATATGGTGCTTCTGGCAGTTTGCAGAAACATGATGCTCTGTGTGTCCTGGCCCTGAACATTCTCAATGAGAAGATCTACATTTTCTTATGGTTCTGGCTCATTGTACTTGCAGTGATGTCAGGAATAGTTCTGCTCTACAGCTCAGCCCTGGTTGTTCTACCATCAATGAGAGAACTAGTACTGAAGTGGCACTTCCGTGTTGGTACGCAAAATGAAGTTGCTATTTTAAATCGCAAAACACAGGTATGGTTTTAAATTTAATGTCTCTTCATGTGATTTTCAAGTGTTCAAATGCAAAAGCTCATGCTTTGTGTATGTCTGATTTCAGATTGGAGACTTTTTGCTTCTTCATTTGCTGAGCCAAAATATGAACATGATGGTGTATGGAGAAGTTCTCAATGAATTGTGCAACAAGATGTACAATGGCAACAACCTGCCAACTGCTCCATCAACATTAGAGCTATCTCCTATTTATCCTTCAGAGAAGCTTAGCAAGATGGGGCGGGAGACTGAAGCATAATGCTGCACTTGCTGAGTCAAACTATAATGAATTTTGAATGAATTTTTGAAACAACGATGCACTGACCATGCAGCAATGATGAATTTGACAATAATAGGAAGATTTTATTTTTGATGTTTTTATCAAGGGGGTGGATTAAAATCTGCTCTCACGACCCTGGACAGGAAAATTATTTCTAGTGTATTTTATGTTATGATGTTGATTGTTTGTGTGTAAATGTGTGATTATGAATGTGAGTGTGTGTCTGTGTGCAGAACAGTGTGATTGAATCTATATGAAATTGGTGCTGCCATTATATAATTTGAGTATTATTATGTCTACTTACAAGTTTCTTGACAATGGCAAAAACTGTTTGTATTTGCTTTAAACCTCAAACAAGATGCTAGTGCATCTTGTTTATTGTTACTAGATTGTAAATTGCATTCCCTAAATGTTCTACTGCCAAGTTGTTCATTTCTGATATTAGAAAGTATTTTTTTAGCCTTTGATATATTACTTTTAGATTCTTGTAATTGCTCATAAAAATAAACATTGTGATGTGTAAGACATATATAACGATCTCTACCTGATAGGTAAGTCTAGAGATGAACAAATTATTTTGTAATTTAAACTCATCTCAATATTTTAAATTAAATCATTTCTTTTTCTCTGATCATGATTTGATGTGTGGAGTCCAACTTGTACTGTATTGCAAACTGACAGGTTCATTTTGAAAGTTGGTTATGTAAATACATTGATTTTAAATATAATTTTAAACCCATATTTCAGAGTCTATTTTTTCCTTGAAAAGAAAGTGTCATGAATGCTACTACCCATGCCTCTCTGTGGCCTACAAAAGTGATAAAAATGTATGTACTTTACAATTTCTAGAATTGCAAGTGCCACTTTTGTACTTCTATAATAAAGTTATTTAAAGTTGACTTCATAATTTCAAAGTGTTGTACTAGTAAATGGGACCTCCTATATACTGATGTCAACAGACTGACTGGCATTGTGTGTAATAGAAAGTTAGCTAAAGATAGTACTAATATCATATATGGCTATGGCAAGGCCCCACTCCACTCTTCAAAGTATTAAGAATATGGTGAAAACACGAAATATGTGCAGGCACATTTTAGTGCCAATACGGCCAGTAAGTGGGCGTACCACTTCCCACTTTATCATCTATCCTCTTTCCTATATATCTGTTACGGTAAAAGCCCGTCGCTTTTCCCAGTCAAAGCCCGGATTTACCGGTCGACGGGCTTTTACCGTAACATGTCCATACTATCCTGAAGCATATTAGAAGTTGAATCTAGACCACATCCCAACAAGTAATATTTACAAAATTTAAATTTTCAGAACACGTTCCCTGTCAGGAAACTAGATGGTACCACTCACCTGTTCCCCCAATCAATTTTTGCAGTGATCTTGAGTTTCAGCTCGCGAGTTTGATCCTGTGTAAGAGTCCCAGTCAAGAGTTGTCTCCTCCAGTCGAGTAGGTCCCTCATGACCTTTCTTAAGTTGGTAAATTTAAAGTTCTCTCTCTCCTAAGAAAAAAAGCAAACACATAATAAAAAAACTGTCATTGGTTTTAAAGAGTCATTGACTTTAAAGAGTTAAACAAAAGACCAACATACCACATAAAGCCTCTTCCAGATGATTCCCCACTCTCGTAAAACCAGAGTGACCTCTCGTACAACAGGATCTTCAATTGGTACAACAGAGTCCACAGGTCTGCAAAAAATTGATTAATTTTTAGGGGAAAATATCAAACGCTACTATGTAAATTTTAGAATCAAAAATTACTTACCCTTCATTGTCAACTTTACTTGGTTTAATAAATATGTACGACACCGGGAATATGCCCTGAACATAAAAGAAGAATGACAATTAGGAAACCAAAGCAAGTTATCAAGACAAATACGAGACAATGATGATAATGTAAAATGAGAATACCTTAACAGTTCTGTTCTTAGTTGCAAATCCTCGATACCAGCCTGCAACAAGGAAGGCAGTGGATTAAAACTATTGTAGACGTTGATAGAACTGAGGGGACATAACATATTCCAACAGATGGGTCTTACACACAGCCCAGCCCGCCGTGGGATCCATACCAGCCGTTCAGCACCCGTGTCGAATGGGTTGCCTAACCAGAATCCTACAGGGGCTCAGAGCGCAAAGACCTCTGCGCAGCGCGAGGGGTGGGAGGGGTGGAGGGGGAAGGGGACAGGGGGACGGGCTGGGAAAGGCAACGGGCCCCCCTTTCACCGCATCATTGAGAGGGGGAATGACCTGGGCCAATGGACATTTCTACAATACATTGGCGAACTTTTCGTATTGCATGTAGGCGCGGGGACGGGGCAGATGTGAGTATAGAATCGATGTGCTGGCAACTCACCGAGACACTCCTCATGGATTTGGACTGTATCGCCGATTTCCAGAGGTAGTCCATATCGGGTATCTCCTTTCCAATTGTACACCGCTGCAAAACAGACAGGAAAACAAAATATAAACTATGAATCAAACGTGGAAAATCTTTACAGGACTGGCTTCTTAAAAGGCGTAAGCACGCCGATAGTATTCCAGTTTTTATACTCAAATCCAAATAAATAGCACACATTGTGCAACATGCAGGCATCGATGGGACATTTTATCAGCTAAGGTGCGGAACCATCGACACCCACACGACAACACACGCCTCAGGAGAGCACGATACAGCATCCCCATCCAGACGGCACGTCAAAAAATGAAACCATCCCTTGTGGGGATCGAACCCACGACCTTTGGATTAGAAGTCCAACGCGCTATCCTCTGCGCCAAAGGGACTTGGTTGGGAAGGCCA